AGCGTCTGTGCAGCTCAAATATTCAAATGTAATTGTCCTTCAGAATGGAATGTGTTGGAGAATCTGCCACGTCCTGCCTGCAGTTGCAGAACTCTGAATATGTCTCTTCCAGGTGAAACATRGGAAAAGAGAAAAGCTTAAGAAGATACTTATTGTGGTTCTCGGCACCTCTCGGCCCTTCCTCTCCTCTCTGATCAGTTCCTTTCCTTTTCCCCAGACCAAGAGCCTGGGGCAAGTCATCTAAGYCAGTAGGGGGTGCCAGAGAGGCTTCACTCTGGGCCCAGACCTGGGGAAGAGCCATAGGAAAGAGCTCTATGGATCTATCTGCTCAAGAAGCACATTATATTTTCTCTTTCCATTTTCTAAAAGGAAAATTTTTTTTTTACTTTATAATTCAGTACCAACGGTTGTCACAATCAGCCATGTGAATTATGTTCAGCATTTTTAAAATGGATGACAATAGGAAACTACTTAATGAGAATTTGGGRAAAGAGACAAACCACAGAATCTATAACCCCGTAGGAGGACAACCATCCCAGTTTGCCCAGGATTGAGGGGTTTCCTGAAACAAGGAACATCATGTGCTAAAATCTGTAAAGTCTTGGACAATCCAGGATGGCAGGTCACCCTAGATGGTGACAGCTCAACAACCAAAGCTGCAGAGACCGATTCATTGTGAAGCCAATGAGTCCACAGGCCTCTGCCAAGGCTTAGCAATGGGTTTGCAATGTGTTTCCTAAGTTTTCGTAAAACTTAGGAAAGTAAAATACATTTGCATTCTTTGCTCAATGACCACCCTGCTCTCGCTCACCTCAACCCTATGCCGTATAGGCTTCAGGCCCTACAAAACCCAGAGCTGCCCCTCGGAGCTGCTCTGGGGATCACTAATGTGAGTGACAGCCTGCCAGGTKCCCCCCCCCCCCCGTTGGACACAGCTGGAGGCACAACCTGCGGAGCTTCCTCCTCCTACTTGGAGGTAGTTGCAGCTGTATCACGTACCAGAGATGTCCATCTTCCTTTATCCTGATTACGTTCTGGTTATACTATGATAGCATTTCTGGATTCCCAGTGTTCAAGACGCTTAGCACTGATCGCTGTAAGGAAGCAGCTAAACAGGAAACAGAGGCAGCCCCGGGCTTACGTGCTTGAGGGTTCCACAGCCTGTGTAGGGAATTGTGAATATCACTTGGCTCGARGTTATCTGGGGCTGACACCTGTAGTTCCCATTCCATCCAGAAATGACAAGGTCCCTGGCAGAATAGCCYAGGGACTGGATGTAGTCCCTGTTCAAGCTGGCTTGCATGTGATTCGGCAGACAGAACAGACCTGAGGGACAAGGGAAGACCATGCACTTGGTCAGCTCCCCCAAACCCCTCCAGTCCTACTGGGTGCTCTTCCCAGATACAGGTGGACAGATAAAGATGGTGACCCAGGTGGTCAGTAGGTAGGATACCTGCACAGAATGTGCTTCACTGCCACCTCCAAGGGCCCTCGGGCTCCACCCAGCCAGCCCCAAGCTCAGTAAAGCTCCMTGAGGACACTTGGGGTTTCTCTAACGGACGGAGTGTTGCAGGCAGGATTTTAAATAACCGAAATGAACTGCCAAGTTACCAATTACCCACAAAGTAAAGCAACTACAGTCCAATTGCAGAGAAGTCATGGAGTAAAGTCATTTAGATATGAAGAAAGCCAATGCTTTCAATCCTAACTACATAAAAAGCCTTGGACGTCACCTTGCCCTGTCCTTGGCCAAGGTTTACGGTAGTTCATATAACATCCTAAATCAGCACCCTATGGCCTTTCCTGGAAGTGCCTATGAGCAGCTGCATCCATCTTCAGATAGAAGCCAAATGTGTGAGGTCTCAGGACATGACCAGTGTCTCATACTCGGGATGGTCACAAAACTTCCAGCGGAGTGGTCACTCTGCCGTGGGCACTGACTTCTCATTTGCTGAGAGCACCCTCTTGTGCCTTCTACTTAGTCCCTGCCGACTGCCTAAGGCCCGTCCACCTCTCGTCAGTCAGAGCTGACTGCTGACCTCATTTCAGGCAGCCAGAATCCCCAAACCTCCTGCAYGTGGCCTCTCCCCGCAGGAAATCCAGCCTGGGGGGGGGGGGCTGCTGGGGCTGCTCTGATTTCTTATTTCACAACCAGAGGGGAGCTGAGCCGCAGAAGGCTCCCAGGGACCTCCCCCCCCAACCCTGCACTCCCCGGGGCACTTACTGGTGCTGTCGTTGGAAGGGATGGAGTAGAAGGCGGCCTGGAACCCCGCCCGCGTGACGCTGCCGTCACTGGTGAAGCGGACTGACAAGAAGTTGGAGGAGGACGTAAAGGAGCCCGTGTCCCCGTCACACACCTTGGCGATGAGCCGTGAGCTGCTGGAGGGGCCGTCGAAAACCTCAATGTAGTCGTAGTTGCAGCCTCCTTCAAGTCTACGGGSACAGAGCACACCACGTTGGCCCCACCTCGTCTGCAACTGGACACAGGGGTTCATGCCTGGCGGGAGGGGAGGGGTGCGCCAGGGACTCTGACAAAGCTCATCATTGGTTTTCTTGAATCGAGGGGGTCTGTCCCCCCATGACCACTCTGCCTGGATCTGTGTTCAGCTTTTTGAGGTGGCACATGTGAAATCTGCAGCCTTTCTGCACAACCCTCTAGATTGTAAAAGGAAGGATTCACATCCTAATTTAGACCATCTTTCTTCCATCAAAGGATTCCCGGCTCCCCCAGAATAAAACAAACGTCCAATACAAGTAACAGTGAATGTTGTCGAGGATGTTGGGGGAAAGGCACACTCATACATGGCTGGTGGGGCTGCAAATTGGTGCGGCCACTCTGAAAAGCAGTATCGAGATTCCTCAGAAAACTTGGAAGGGAACCACCATTTAACAGTTATCCCATTCCTATACTCAAAGGACTTAAAATCAGCATACTATATATAGTGATGCAGCTACGTCAATGGGCTGCTGCTACATCAATGTTTACAGCTACATCAATGTTTACAGCAGCATAATTCACAATAGCTAAGCTATGAAACCAGCCTAGGTGCCCTTCAACAGATGAATGGATAAATAAAATGTGGTATATATACATAATGGAATATTACTCAGCCATAAAGGAGAATGAAATTAAGGCATTTGCTGGTGAATGGATGGAACTAAAGACTATTATGCTAAGTGAAATAAGCCAATCCCAAAATCCAAAGGCCGAAATGTTCTCTGATATGCAGGTGCTAACACACAATAGGGGGAGGGAAGAACAGAAGTTCATTGGATTAAAGAGGAATGAAGGGAAGGGAGCCGGGATGGAAATGTGAAATATAGTAGAAGGATTGGACATATTCCTGTATGAATGCACGACCAGTGTAACCCCACGTCGTGTACCACCACCAGAATGGGGAGTTATACTCCATGTATGTATAATATGTCAAAATACATTCTACGGTCGTGTAAAACTAACATGAACCAATTTTTTTTAATGTAAATAAATAAATAAAAACAAATATCCGTGAGTTCATAGTGATGGAAACAAGTAATTGAATAAATAAATATTGGGCAAACCTGTCCCTGCACATGGAAGGGGGCTGTTGTGAGGCTCCAGTGATACAGCCTGGGGACAAGTGCTTTCTAAGATGTCACTGAATGGTGGCTGTCGCTGCTATTGAGATGATGGCTAAAGAACCAGTCAGGTTGAGATGCAGCCCTTGTATTRTAGTGAGATCCAGATAATATACCTTTTGCAAAACCCCAAATGGATTTCTAAAGCAGAGACTTCCAACTTCTCTGTAAGTAGAACTCAAGAGGGAAAACTGTTTTGTTCTGCAATGGCTGCTGGAGGAGAAGTCATGGTTTCCCGTGTCCAGGATTCTGCACATTAAGGGTTCCTCCTCCTGGTCAGCTTGGCCACCCCCTCTCTGAATAGATCATATATTAACATGCTTTTGGTGACGTCCCCTTCTGCTTAGAACAATGATTCCCACTTGCAATTGGATGAGGAAGAGGCCACCTGGCGTCCCAGCGGGCTCCCCCCTCCACCTGATCACGGGAAGAGGGGGAGAGGCCAGGGAAGGGTCCCAAATGGGTGCAGTTGTTAAGGGGAGGATTTGCATCGTTCTCCATTACTCCCACTGGGTGACATTTTCCAAGTGTTTCCACATATTCTTGCACCTGTCCCGGAATCACCAGGGAAAGGAAAATATATTATTCCCCTCCTTGGGTTGACCCTTGGGAAGGTTGAGTGATTTCCCATGGTCACACAGCAAATTAGTGACAGACCTGGGACTTGAAACCAGAGCCCTTGTCACTGCAGGGATCTTGGCTCCAGGTCCCCCTTCCCCATGGGCTGCTGCTGTTCTAGGTCAAAAAGAACTAGTAATAAAACCTGTCCCTGGACAAGCCTCGCCCCTGAATCGCCCATGTCTTCTCTCTCTAAATGTCTGTGGGGTCCCCAACTCATTCTGCTAGCGCCCATGCACTCACCGGACATATATGAAGGTGACAGTCACCAGATGGTTGTTGGGGACCTCAATGTCCCACACACACCTGGCATTGTTTGGATAGTTCCCTGGGTAGAATGGGCTAGAAAAGTTTCCTGAGGACTGGGCCAGGAAGCCTCCGCAGGAACTCACTGTCAGAACAAGAAGGAAACATGATGAGCCCCCAGCACCTGGCTCAGCCACCTGGGAGGAATTGTCTACCCYCTCCTGAGAGCACCACCTCTGTCCCACTCCTCCTCCTTCCAGAAGTGCACAGAGGAAATGCAATCCCAGAAGGGGGGCTGGGGACACACTAGTAGGAGAGTTTGTAGTTCCTACAGGAAAGAGAAGAGAACGTGAGTCAGTCCCACGGACCAGATGTGTTGCAAGGAGCCACACAATGATGAGCAAGAAAAATGCTGGAGCGATTTCCTTCCTTCTCTCTCAGAAATGCTCCTGGGGAGGCCTGAACACACCCCCGAGGGCTGGTCTCCAAACTGCAGCCCTGGGGGAATTTGTTCTAACAGGCTCCAGGAGACTCAACCCCTGGCTGCTGTAGGGACCAAACGAAGAAAGAAGCCACAGAACACCAACCAAGGCCAGACACCAGTGACCCTGGGCAGGTCTCAGGGGAACCACTATCTCCCAGAACAGCTCAGGGTGAGAGGAGGCCAGTTCAAAGGAGCCTTTGCTTCACCAAAACCACACAGGACTCTAGAGAACTGTCAGCTGAGCAGATGACTCCGGCATCCTCAGCATGGACACACTTATGGGWGAGCCATCCTCGGTTGGGGCAGTTCCACAGGTAGGACTCATGCCCAGAGCAGGCCACGTCATCCAGGACAATTGGCCCTGAGCCCTGACCAAACCGGGCACTCCCTGGGGCAGACACAGCCCAGCCACAGCCCAGCTGCCTGCACACCACGTTGGCATCGTTGATGTCCCAGCCATCATCGCACACGGTGCCCCAGGAGCCTCTGTACAGGACCTCCACCCGGCCTTGACACCGGTGACCTCCATTCACTAGTCTCAGGTCCAACCCGAAATCAGTTGTTCCTAGAGATGGGCCTCATTTGTCATTAGGGAAGTGCTGTCAAAATCCCTAAGACAGGGCTGGGATGTGGCTCAGTGGTAAAGTGTCTGCCTGGYGTGCACCAGGCCCTGGGTTTAAACCCCAGTACTGGGGGGGAATAATCCCAATGAGACACCACCTCACTCCATCCAGGACACCATGATGAACAAGATACACCATGACCACTGCTGGGGACATATGGGAAGACCAAGCCCTCAGACACTGCCAGTGGGAACAGCAAAACTCCAGCAGCTGCAGAAAATGGTTCAACATCCCCACAAGTGACACACTGAATTAGCATAGGACACAGACAACCCACTTCTAGGTCTATACACAGAGGAACCAGGAAGAGACAACCCAGCAAAAATTGTATGTAGGAGCTGGGAATGTGGCCAAGTGGTAGTGCACTCGCCTGGCATGCTCGAGGTGCTGGGTTCGAACCTCAGCACCACATAAAAATAAAGAAAAGATGTTGTGTCCAC